TATAAATATATATGTGTATGTGTATATGTGTGTATATATGCAATCATATATGTGATTATAAATGTAAATACACATATATAAGAATACATTTTTTTTTCTTTAGTGCCAACTTAGCAAGTGACCACACGCAACGTTATTTACACTTTTCCGGGTATTCCTTTGAGATCTAATCACTGATTGAACTTGGGAGAGGTACTGAAGTATATGTGTGTTTGTGTGTATGTGTGTTTATTCAGTCACAAAACAGTTTCTTTGATATACTTATTTTTATTACTTGAATTATTGTAAAGGTGTAAGGGGGCGTCTATCCCTGTCATTACGATGCACTGGTAGCACAATAGCCTGATATTTCTTCAGTTTTGATTTAATTTTCAGATTGTTACTAATTAACTGTCAAGGATTATTTGATGAGCAGCCTAATGATTCCGTGAGGTCAATAAAACAGTTTCTGAATGCGATGATTTACTTTGTTTCAATTACACACAAATAAGACTTCTCCAAGAGTGTTGCCTTGTTGAGGCGTTAATTTCACTTATTGGTCCATGCCTCCAGTCCCATACGGGGTACGCTCCTACAAAACACCAGAGGGTTCTCTGCCGACACCACCTCGAAGGGACGCTTCTGAACCACCAGCAGTTCAGGGAAGGCGTCGCACATGATGGCCGCAAGAGTCGTACTGTGCAATGCTTTCAGTTGATCTGTCACAGAAAAATATATCGTTAAAAATGGAATTTGAAAAGAAAAGTTAGTTTATGATAAAAACAATTTCTTAATATCCATTCATAATGTCTGTTTGTTTGGTATTGAGAACAGCGATCAGTGGAACTTACCATCGTCGAACTTAGTATCGTTGATATGAGTCTCGTACCAGTACCTGTCTGCCTGGCGAATTCTGGAGAACTGCTCAGCCAGAACGCAAGTCAACGTGGGTCCCAGCTCTCCATCGGGGACTGGTCGTTCAAAAGCTCCACCGATCAAGAGATCAATGTCCCTTACGTCGCTGCGATCAAAATTCTTGGCTTGAGACGCTTGCATTAGTGGTGGCAAAGACTCGGGTCTACATCATAATAATAAATACTAATGTGCCTAAATAATAAAAGCAATAATTATCACAATCATAAGTGATATCAGACATGTCTACATAATATTGATACGAATAATGTCAATAACAAATAACAAATAATTGATTCCCTATCTTAAATAGTCTTTAGTCATTAGCAACGAATATCTAACTAAATGTCATAAATAAAATCATACTTGTACACTTACTTGTACACACTCTTTAGGCGGTCAATGACTTTTTGGTCCATGCTGTTGCTCAGGTCTGCGAATGTGTTGATATCCCTGATATTGCAGGCCGCCTGCACTGCCGTGTATCCAGCCAAACCGTGCTCACGCCCACGCTGGATGTTCAGAGCCAATAAGTCGATTCCGACAGCTTCGCCAGATAATGTGGCCGTTATCTGGGGACAGGGGACGATGTATTTTTAGCAAATAGATGTAAACGATTCAAGGCTTGTTATATTGCCATTAGTCCTATTTGCATTTTTCTTGGAATATATTGTAATTATCCTTCTTTTCTGACGTTTTTTCATGACAAGAATCAGTGTCACGGATCCTGACCTCCTTTGTAAAAGCCAGTTTACCGGCATCCTGCCAGCTGACGCCACGAAGCACGTCGACAGGTGCAAGCTCAAGGGACTCTTCAAGTGTGGCGGAGGACATATCTATTTCTGTAACCTTCCCAGAAGAGTCTACTAATTCAATTTGGTCCTGAGAACAAAAAGAGCAAGAAATAATTGCCGCTGCAAACATCTTTAAATAGGTATATATGTGTGAGTGCATCTATTTATTTATAACTATGTCTCATTATAAATAAGCTCAATATATACTATTAATATCTACACAGAACACGGCACAGAAAATCAATTCTTACAAAAATTACCGTGTACCTATGTATACTGTGAGAACAACTTACCGGACTCTGGCTCTGGCTCAAGTGGAGGCTCGCAGTTTCGAACTCGGAACTAGTCGCAATAGTCTTGATAGCACTGTAGTCATCTCTTCTTTGTGTCCCAGTGAGAGGCGTCAGCTGGTATTCAGTCATCGCTTGTGGTCCTACAAATAAATTTCAGTTAACTATTCAAACAAAAGCACTATCGCCTAGCCCTGGTTAAGCCCACAGGAATCCATGATACACTCTACCCTGAAAATAAACTGAAATTCTCTCCCTTGGCCCTTGAAAATACATACCAAGGACTTTATGAAGATATTCGTTGTAAACGACATGTTGTAGTTGGGCGACTACGATCCTGCGGCTTTCCTGGAAAAGCATCTCATCATCCCAGTGCACATTGGTGTCCTTGAGGCGATCCGCTATGTTGTTGTGGTAGCGAGTGAACATGTGATATATCACTTTGACCAGGGCCCCTGTCTCTGTTGATATCATGCTAAGTGTTATCTCCAGTGTATGTGTCTTAACTTCATTGCGACAATCACA